CGGCAGGGACTTTAGCCAAAGTAAAGGATCTACGAACACAGTGGCTACGCCTTCCTCAGCCATATAAAGATTTTACAGTAGCTGCAAAAGAGTCTTTTAATCTAATTGATGACAACTCAGACGAAGAGACCTTAGGCGAAGTTTGCGGCTACCACATCCAGTGCTATCGGAATTTTACTGACATAAGTAAACTTAAAAGAGCGAAAACAACTATAGCTAATTCCAGCATAAAGCGCCCAGTAGAAGTCGAACACGAAACAGATAAAGTGAGTCAAAAAAAGCCAGTCAAAGTTGCCCGTACGAAACGTCACTCGCTTGGCCGAGAAAGTTCGATCCACTTTAATCTAAAAAGCGTGTCATCCAATATATTACCAGACATTTGCTTAACTGTAAGCGTTCGGGACCCTTATATATCACTGATACGGTAAGCCGCAGATTTTAATTAATTTCTATCACTTACATTCTGTCACCTAAAGTTATTTCGTTTATTCTATTGCCATAATCATAGCAATTTTTTTCAGGTGACCAAAAAGCGTGTCAAGCAAGAGTTGTCGGTGGCCCAAACTATCGATGCTGGTGTTTTGAAACAAGCAGCAGTGCTTCGGAATGATGAAAGTATTCTTCTCCATATTGGCAGGCGGGATTGCGTTGCAATTGAAGCAAAGTATCATAGACGATGTTATCAAGCGTACACTAAATGTCTTTCCAAAACTAAAAAAGTTGTCGGACCAACACTGTATGACAGAGCTTTTGATGAGTTTTGCCAGGAAGTAATTGAGAAAAAAATCATTCAGAACGGTGAGATTTTACTACTCAGCAATTTGTTGAAAGAGTTTATTGCTTTTGTGCATAATTTGGAAAATATTGACATTCCGTACCGTGCAGAAAAACTGAAAAGACGCATTCAGGATCGTTTCCCTCAACTCATTTTTCACTCATCAAAGACCATGAACAAAGGCACATTGGTCTATTCAGACACTTTAACTGTTGGTGATATTGCAGATAGCACTACAGACACGGGAAGTGGATTTGAATCAGAATCTGAATTGGAGAATGAAGAATTTGATTATGGTTATGAGCAGCACATTGGTAGCACTAAAGATGTCAAAGCTATTGACATTTATTTTGTAGCACTAGAAATTCGAAAGCTTTTGAGAGAAAGTGAAGGCATCAACGCAGAGTGGCCCCCTGATTCCCACGACTTAGCATTTGCACATGCAAAACAATCTATTCCCGTAATCTTATATAGGTTTCACATGTGATCCAGTTACTGACAAAAAGGTCGATCTTAGTTCCAAAGAAGATGCCAAAGTTGGGTCGATTGCACAAGATCTAATTTATGCAGAATCAAAGGGAAGAAAACAGACACACAAATCACTGGCGCTTGGAATGGCTGTTCGACAAATCACAGGATCGACAAGATTACTCAAAATTCTTCATGGCCTTGGACACACAGCGTCGACTGACACAGTTTCAAAACATGACACTGCGTTGGCTATTATCAGCAGCGAAGGAAATAAGAATGAGATCAAGATTCCAAGAAATATTTTGCAAGGCTTGTTTACGACCATTGTCTGGGACAACAACGACTTTAACGAAGAGACACTTTCTGGAAAAGGCACGACTCATGTCGCAAATGATATCATTATACAAAGCGGACACCCAAAACTTGCCAAATTATCCGAGAAAGCACCAGTCAGTAAGAAGCAACGCACCATGAAGGCACCTGACACAAAGATATTGCCATTCACGAGTAAAGAAAAAGGAACTTTTTCTCTACAAGGTGAGAGCGCCCAGGTATCAATTGAGGAGGACATCCATCACCATGATCAAACGTTAGGAAGAAACGCTGATTTCGTGTATATGTTGTGCAGAAAATTGACAGCAGATAGCGGGGAGTATTTACCAGGCTGGACTGGATTTAACACGAACATCTACAAAGAGGTAAGCACAAGGAAAACATATGTAGCTCATATAAAGCTTACGTTAACTATATAAAACATCTAGTAATCTCTATTGTTTCTGTAGTTAAGAAAGTCATCTACCATTGGATATCTGCCAGTTATTGATGCACCGGTCACCAACATTTTAACAGTTTACACTCTTCTCAAACACAGTTTGTCAATTTGCGACCGCCTTCATATACCTGAGATTGTGCTAGTTTTTGACGAAGCAATATATTCCAAAGTTCAAATGATTAGATGCAGCAATGATGAATTCGTTAAACGGTTGGTAATCAGACATGGTGACGGTAGTGGTATTGGAAAAATTTTCAAAGACGCTGGTTTACAAGTGAGTATAGTATATGAAATTAGCATTCAACTCACATTGGAAACATTTAGTATTACTAATCCTTCTATAAAGTTTTGTTTGTTTCAAATGAGAGTTGAACTGGTAAAGGGATATTTTCGTGTCATATAGGCACTTTAGAATATAGAGTAGAACGTGTTTACTTTTCATATTAATTAAAGTTTGGGTTTTTATCTCAGGATATCATGAAGCAGAAATCATCTCGCAAGGATCAGTGAAGGGGGTTCTTTCCGGAAAGCATTATAATCGAGCAATCCGATGCCACAAAATACTATATGAAGCAATGGAAAGATTGCGTTTGGAAGTATTTGAGAAGTCGCTTACGACAGAAGAGAAAGAAAAGCTCTACTCGCTTGAAGTTATTGTAAAGGAAGATTCATCTTTGGATGGTTTTTTGGAGAAGTGCATGGGAGTGAACGTCATAGAAGTAAAGCAAATGTACGATCGATTTGCGAAAGAACGTAGCGAGACGAATCCTTTATTTGCATTCTGGTCGAAATACATAGAAATGGTGCAGTTACTTTTATTGTACATAAGAGCAACTTTTTGTGGGCTGATAATCTGCATGTTGTGATGGCAATGATAGCAGTTCTGCAACTTGTATTGTTTGCTTGGTTTCTTTTTAGCTTTAACTTTTAAAGTAACACTGTTGATTTCCTGAAATTCTGAAATCCATCCTTCAAAATCATTATCTGATACATCCGAGTGGAAGGATATAGTTTGAATTTATCACCTTCAGATGCATGGGAACTTTCTACCAAGTATTTACAGCATTCTGGTAACCTTTTCATTCTTTTCATTGCTTTAACTTTCAGATTTTCTTCCTGATCTTTTGATAGCGACTTAGACAAAGTTTGATGGTCAATATCATTGATAACCGTGTTAAAAAGTTCTTCAAAATCATTCACCACCGCCATTTTAAAACATAGACATTCAGAGATTGTCAGCATAGCAGATTACACTAACGTAGTTACTCACCAGATGTGACACACGCTAATAGTGGTGACACTGATTGTCACTGGTGGTTTACGAAACGGAAAATTGCGTCACCTCCCTTCTTTACAAGAAATGAATGCTTCAGGATGAGTGAATAGAATCTTGAACATCCCTTCTTTAATGTTTTCTTTAGTTGTACTGTCAACTGAAAGTTCTGCCACATGTACATTATCTGCACAAATTTCAGTTGTAGCGGCCTCAGCATTGCATTCTTCATCACTTTCCTTTTTGCTATGGCTCTTGCTGGTTATCAATTAAAGCATTCAGAGGGGTAATTACCAGAACAATGTTACCATGCGTTGTAGCATCTCCTTCCCTTACATATATGCTTGTGTTTAGATAGTCTGCCACGTATGGAAAAATATGGAAAATGACTGATTTCCTATAGCCAGTAAGGAGAACTCTGATTATGTCTCTGTTTTTCACCAAAATTGATTCTAACTGTTAAGAATAGTTTATATTTACTTATTATGGTTTTGTTATGCCACGTGAACAATGCGTGAGACATTTTACTGGGAACATTAGTTTGGGGACAAGTAAGGGTCAGTGGGGATAAAATATTACGTTTTTTTGTGCGTAAGGTTCGAAACATGTGAGAAAGAAATAGTTTGTTTAAATAAAGGGAAAAATTATATATTTTACTGCAAAACAATACGATTTATTATATGGCGCCCAACGTGAGGCCAACAGAAGGATTATTGAGGCAATACATTCGATTTTAAAGCGATAAATTCGACAATAAACACGATTTACAACGAGAAGTATGACCGAAAATAGCGAGAAATTAGCGAGAATAAAAGCGGTTCGAGCCGGTAATAGAGGCGTTATTACGAAGTTATCGAAGGAAGCTGATTGGATTTTAAATGGAAGCGATGTAGACGAGGGTAGATTGAAAACGATTAGTGGAATATTGGAAGATAAACTACGATTAATCAAGGAATTGGACTCACAAGTATTAACTTTATGCAACGTTACTGATATTGAACCGGAAATAGACGAGGCTGAGGACGTGATATCAAGCACGCTAGACGTTTAAGGACACATAAGGGACGGAATTAGGAAGAAACCGGCATGTCCTGAGCCAACTTTGACGGTAAATTCGCCAACCGTGGCGAATACAAGTAATACAAACGAGAATACGGGTAACAACATTCAAGAAATCGGAGAAAACTCGAATGATTTACAGGCATCCAACAATGGTTTGAACTCGACTACAAATATGGTTGTCATGGGAACGTCACCGGCGCAGCTCAATTCTCCTTCTACGTTGGCACAGATTCGACCGAAACTACCGAAATTAGTACTGTCAAGATTTAAGGGTAACGTTACAGAATAAACAGGGTTTTGGGACTCATTCAAGGTTGCAGTTCATGAAAACCTGCAATTATCGGAGGTAGATAAGTTCAATTATTTACATTCTCTACTGGAAGGGTCAGCAGCTCGAGCAATTCAGGGTTTGACACTAACATCGGACAATTACAAATCAGCTGTTGATATTTTACATGAGCGGTTCGGAAAAACGCAGCGAATTATCACGTCTCACATGGACGAATTGTTGAAAATACCTAGTTGCACCAGTGATCGGGCATCATCACTGCGTTATGTTTACGACAAGATCAGCATACATGTACGGGGCCTAGGGTCTTTGGGTGTTTCTGCCGACCAGGTATGGAAGCCTTCTTATTCCAATTATTATGGATGAACTGCCTAGTGATATAAAGTTGCAAATTGCAAGGAAGGCAACTGGAGAGGTGTGGCAAATCGAAGAACTGTTGAAAACAATTCGAATCGAGGTCGAAGCGAGGGAGGCAAGCGATGCGAGTAAGATCCACAAGGACAATTCGGGCGTTCACAGCCACAGGGCTCCAAAACCTCCAGGTACAACAAATTCGTTAGTAGCTAACGAAAGTAAGATTCGTTGTGTTTATTGTAACGGGGAGCACTACTCAGCGTCGTGCGAGAGCGTTGTTAATGCTAAAGAACGAAAGGATATTTTGAGAAAGTCAGGTAGGTGTTTTGTTTGTCTGAAAACAAATCACATGTCGAGAAACTGTAACTCACCAAGGAACTGTAGACATTGTAACAATAAACACCATCAATCAATATGTGAAAGGGTGCACAGTCCTGGTGCAAAATCCGAGGAAAGGGTCAAGCAGGACAATGATTCGAACAATGGGGCTGCAGGGCTTGTCAATGTAACAACAACAAGCACAACACATAAATGTACAAACAGGCGAACAGTCCTTTTGCAAACTGCCCGAGCAGTTGCTTTTAATGAGAAAACTAATCAGTCTACCTCTGTTCGAGTGCTCTTTGATAATGGTAGCCAGAGAAGTTATGTGACAGACAATGTGCGATCGCGATTGGGTCTTAAGGCCACTGAGAAAGAGAAACTAAAGCTCAACACGTTCTGAGAAACGAAGTACAAGTCACAGGACTGTGACATTGTTAATTTAAGGTTGAAGAAACCTGGTGCTGATGAGTCGATTAGTATTGATGCTTTAAGTTATCCCGTTATATGTTCACCTTTGCCATCAAAGATTGATGTTGACCTACCACATTTAGCAGGCTTGGAACTAGCCGATGATTGGGAGGATCCAAGAGGCTCAATTGACATATTGATTGGATCAGACTATTATTGGTCGGTTGTGACTGGGGAAGTAGTTCAAGGATCTGATGGTTGTGGTCCGGCAGCCGTTACTAGCAAATTGGGTTGGTTGCTATCTGGTCCGGTAGACAGCACTGTAGGCATCAGTGCCACCCACTCGAATTTGATTGTTTCATCAAAGTCGGAAGTGATTCAAGACAGTTGTAAGGATGATGAGTTGACAACCACCTTAAGGAAGTTTTGGGACACTGAAACAATCGGGATTCACGAAGTACAAGATGAGGGTGAATCGAAGCTTTTTATGACGGATGTGAAGTACAATGGAACACAGTACGAAGTCGGTTTGCCTTGGGGAGAAGATCGTCCTGGAAGACATTATGATCTATGCTTTCACCGATTGAAAGCATTACACTACAATTTCATTCCAAAGTTATTCGACGTATTAGTTAAATTTAGATCTCATCACGTTGCGCTTATGGCTGATATCGAAAAAGTGTTTTTGATGATCGGAATCCGATCGATTCGACTAATCCTGAGATCAAGGAAGGGGATATTGTACTACTCAAGTCAGATTCGACAGCGCGAAATTTTTGGCAATTGGCAAAAATCGAAGAGCTTATTGTCAGTCGAGATGGAAAGGTCAGAGCGGCTATGGTCGTTACCATCAACAATCAGGGTAAACCCTCACGATTACGGAGAGTGGTACAGCATCTAATCCCCCTAAAAATGCAAGCAAATGTGCAAGATTATCGAAAGGACACAGTTGTTGTCGAAGCAAGTTCGCAATTACGTCGAGCAGCGGCTGTGGCAGGGGAACTACAGCGAAGAAAGAACTATTAAGAGTGTAGTTTGATCTCCGAGCTGAGACTCAAACTAGGGGAGTGTTAAGAATAGTTTATATTTATGCCACGTGAACAATGCGTGAGACATTTTACTGCGAACATTAGTTTGGGGACAATAAGGATCAGTGGGGATAAAATATTACGTTTTTTTGTGTGTAAGGTTCGAAACATGTGAGAAAGAAATAGTTTGTTTAAATAAAAGGGAAAAATTATATATTTTACTGCGAAACGATACGATTTATTATACTAACATTTGGTACTGTTTAACTTTAGAAAATAAATTGCTATAATTTGTTACGCTTAAAGCGTAGTTTATGGCATTAAGAAATCGGCTCAATGAAAACATAATACATAATATATATATTTGCTTTTCTCACAGCATAAACCATAGTTGAAAGGCACATGCTGATGTTTTATTTTAGACAGTGAGTGCAGTCATACCTATTTAAAAACATTACAGCTATTAATTATATCCAAAGCTCTCTTGCATCTCAGAATTATATATATTTAAACTGCGATATGTCCACTTCAGAACTTACTCCACAAAAACAGTATTATAAATGGAAGAATGTCGATTTTTGTTTGCTTGTGGCGAAGATAAATCGCCCGGTAGGTTTAAGAAGATTTTCAGCACTGTTGGTAAGAAAAAGAAGTTATTTGAACTAACATATCTGCTAACAAATTTTGTATTGGAAGAATCCGATAGCAACGCACAATTTTTGAAAGTTTGCCAATCATGTGAGGGGAAGCTCACTAAAACAGCTGATTTTAAAACATCTGTCATTGCTACGCTTCAAAGCATTCAAGAAAAGGGATCATCAAAAAGATGTTTAACATTTTCTCCAGATAAGTCCGTATCACCAACAGAGAAGAGAGTCAATACATGCGAAGAACCTATAGGTGAAGCAAATCAGGCGGCAATGAATGTTGTTGATTCCATCCCTAACGTGGAAGTATATCTATATTTATTACTGATAATATACAGTGTTTATTGAGGAATCTCAATTGAGAAAGAGTCGTGACGGGAAAAAAGTTTGTCGTATTATAACATAGAATAGACACTGAAACCTTTAACACTTTGGCCTGATAGATTTGCCATCCTATACACCTCTTGGTCGACAATCTATAGCAGATATCTAAAAACTACAGTACTCCCAAGAAATAACTTAACCCCGCGTCTTGCGTCCACTCTGCCCGCGTCCTGCGTCCACCCTGCCTGCGTCTTGCGTCCACTTTGCCCGCGTCTTGCGTCCATTTTGCCCGCGTCCTGCGTCCGCTTAGGACGAATTTATACTCGTAGAGTCGTAGTTCTGCATTACTAGAATACTAGTAATCGAAACGCCAATAAAGATTGAACCCAAAAACAAGTTTTATTAAACCGAAAAGAACCACATTCCGAATGACATTACAAATTGTAATGTGGTTAGTTATTTTCGCTCGCATAAATGACCGTATTACTGCGATTTCCAGTTAAGCGTAGTTTCGAAAGTTTGTTTGTAAACAATTTTTTCGACGTCTTCCAAATTAACCTATTACCTGTCAAGTAAACACAGCTGTCAAGTTTGTGAATAACAACTATTATTCAATTGACTACAGTAGCGATGGTATTGCTGCATGCGTTGATTGTTTACAACCAAATTATTATATAAATAGGCATGGATGCCATAGTTTACAATAAGTGTGAATGAAGTGTGATAAAAGTTACACTTGAATGGTTTTGTTACCACTGTTAGTAAAATCGATCACTTAATATAAAATTCCTACTATGATCACAGAAATATAGCTAGTAATTTTGCTAGTATGGCCTGAACTGCTAAAGTAGAATTGGTGCGTATTGTCAATTTAGTCTTGCTTCTAGTGTGTGAAACCATGAGTCATACACTGTATGAGTCATTACACTATAAATAGCCGCATTAGTCGGGCTACTATTTAGTTTATTTAAAGGTATTTCTTATCAATTGATAATTACTTGACTAATTGTGATAAATCTGTGGATAAATTACTTTTCTTAATCCGCTTTCAGTCACACCTACATGTAAATACCACGCGCGAAGTCTGTTGCGCATTGCATATTACAAAATAACAATCACAACAATCACTATTGACACATTCGAGATTTGAACACGTTTAAGCACACAGCCAACAGCATTCCGTTGAAAGACATCATAGAAATAAAGGAGCAAAATGAGCTACCGATCGCTGACTCGTCAACCAAAACGTATGTTGGTTTATTTTGATGAATAAAGGTCAAGAGAATTCTTGGTTCAAACCAAAACTTATGGGAAAGTGCTAAAGTAGAGCACAAATACTAAAACTTCACGGTGAGTTCAATAATTATTTAAAATAAAAACATTAGGTAACCATTCGAATCATGTCTCATGATTAGAAATTATTTTGCTCCATCCAGATGATCCTACTGTTCTTAATGACGCCGAGAGCTAAAAGTGGACATCATGCGAGAGATCGTACGAAGTGCCAAGCCCGAGCCAAACGTTCTGGCTGACAAAGAAAATGTTCCACCAGCGGCAAAGAGGCAGAAATTTGATGCAGAAAAGAAGAAGACCACGGCGCAAAAGAAAAAACCAAAAAAGGCAAAGAGGTACTGTTTTTTAGTGGTATAACAACTGCCTTAAATTAGGCGCCTCAAATCGTAGCAAACATTCTCAAATTTTCCTGTTGCTGTTATTTTTCAGATAATAACTATTGAGGCAGAGAGTTGTGCTGCTGATCCTGATGCTGTTGCCAATCAATCCCCAAGTGAAGAAAATAAAAGAAAACTACGCTCATTGGACTTCCTTTCCAGCGAAGAGCAGATTCGGGTTCAAAAGCTACTGGAACTTTGTGAGAAAATGGAACCAATTGATGTTGCCACACAAACAGTACAACCTATCGCCAACCTAAAAAATACAACCCTGAAAGATATTGCAACACAGACAGCCTTATCTGAAGAAAAAAAGTCCAATGGTGCCATGTGACTGCCAGAAAAAAGTGCTAGAAAATCAAGAAGAAATAAAGAGAATGCTCAGCAAAATTATAACAGAAACAGGAACATTCAACAACCCAGTCATTGATGTTAGCAACTTTGATTGTGGCTTTGTTTTAGATTCAGCTGATCACAACAGTGAAGAAAGTGAATGTAATACAAGTTTGACAGCAACAGCTAATGCCATGACACCTCATTCTGCCATATCAAGTCCCACAACAGGACATACAACACCAAAATCAACAACAGAATGCTCTAGCCCTGCACAAATACAGCTGTATGAAGATATCTTCAGAAAAAGTTCCTCCATGGCCAAATATGCAAAAAACCTGGTTTTCGAACTGTTCAGACGAGAAGAATTAATTAAAAAAAATTGTGCTGGTGTGAAAGGTAAACAAGGAATTGGTTCTGATCCCCGAATGGACATTGTTCGAGAACAAACCTTTCGAAAATATAGAGTAACTGACAAATATGTAGCATGGGGTGCATGCCGCAAGGCAATTGATACAGCACTGCGAAAAAATGAAATATTCATTGTAAAATTTAGCATTAGATTTAATAGTATTTGCATTGTATTGTTATGTAGTATTAGATTTTTTAAATTTATATACTGGTATAAAATAAAATTTATGATTGCTGAAGTCAGAAGTGTTATTAAGTAATCAATTGATGGTCATTCAATAGTCTATGGATCACTCCCTGAAAGCTACCTAAAATTTTACACAGCTTGTTGAAAATCAAATACCTTCAAATATGGGTAAAAATCTGTAGCGATAAACAAAAAATTGACACTATACACTTCACTAAAATGCACTTCACTAAAAAAATCATGTACTGACTTATGTTGAAATTCATACCTGGCTAATGAGATGCAACCTCAAATAATTTGGCCTGACTTTTGTGCATTATTTCACAAATTGCCAGTAAATGTTCAAAATGTAAACAGGCATTCATTTATGCATTACAGTACCCTCTTATAATGTAAACTCAATTGCTTATTTTTTAAATATACAGAATGGTCCTTTTTGACAGCCTACATATGTTGTATTTCACTGATGCACAATATGGAAGCAACAATCAAGCTGTGGGTACAACAATTCATAATTTATATTTAAAAATATCACACTGTACAGAAAATTTATAATATTTAAGAAATAGAAAACATTTTCCGTGTTTCTATACAGTTATAGAAACACGCGTTGGAGTTTGGGAGAATGAGAAATAATCAGTGGGAAAACGAGCCCGTAGGGCGAGTTTTTCCACGTTATTTCGAGTTCTCCCAAACTCCCACAAGTGTTTCTATAACTGTATAGAAACACAGGAAAAACGTTTTCTATTTCTTTTATAATATAACTCAAAAAGATTTTGTACAAATATTATAATTCGATTCAATTAAAAATTCTCATTACATTACTTCGCTTGACAAGTTTGGCGGGAGAATTCCCGTGTTTCTATACAGCTATAGAAACACGCTTCTCGACCAATCAGCACGCGCGTATTATAAATGTTATATTATAAATACAAACACTACATCCACACTATAATATATTAATGAATACAAATACTTTCGAGGTTTAATATAATATTAACTAATTGAATCAAGACTTATTGTTATATTTACATTCAAGCTACAGTATTTTCAATATCCTTCAACTCCATAGTTTATGTGTATCAGTACCCAGTAGGCCCACCACCACATGCTACAACATCTGGTACAACCTTCCTCACATGGTCCACATATCGCCTGCACATTTCAGGGGTTACTGTTTTCCAATATTCTTGGATTCCTTTTACCAATTCTTCATTGTTTGTTGGCTTTGTAATCTTTCGAAGATAGTGTTTCAAGTTTGCCCACAAATTTTCGGTTGGATTTAAGTCCTAAATTAATATTCAATTTTTTATATTAATTTCCCAGCACTATTAGATTACTTCAAATTATTGCACCTCAAAGAGGATGGAAGTTACATACAATTTAACTGATTGAGCCTTGATGCATTGTAAAAGAAATATACTAATATATAGGTATTTACCGGTGATTCTGGGGGAGTTGAACAATGATTTATCCCATTAACTTTCATCCACTGTTTGGTAGAATTACTGGTATGTTTGGGATCGTTGTCTTGCCAGAAACGATGACCTTCTGGGTACTTGCTATGAAAGGAAGTAAGTTCCTTTTCGATATGGTTTGATATCCAATGCTTTCCATGTACCCAGTAAAGATACACACATTGGTAGCACCTCTGTATGATATTCCAGCCCATACATGAACCTAAAAATAGTGAAACATAATCAAAATTTGATACATTCATATACGTTTTTGATCCAATTTTCATTTTGTTACTACCAGGTAGAATTATGTGAATAAAGTACCTTAAGTGGATGTTTTGGCTTTCCTTTACGTTTTGGTAAACTGCCTTTCTTCGAACAGTACCTGGTATACTGTAGTATTTCTACGCTGGTTTCATCTGTAAAGATAACATTCTCAAAGCTATCTTTCTCTTTCATCGCTTTTAGACAAAATACTAAGCGTTTTCTTTTATTTCTGTCACAAATTAGCTGGCAGTAGCGAGTTCTTTCGTGTTTCCAATTGAGCTTTTTTCTTCTTACACTTCGTATTGTTGAAGTCGAAGCAATTACATTTCGTTCTTCGCGCAAGCGAAGGAACGCTTGTCCAGGATGTTTTAATTCCGCCCTCTTCTTCCAGGATGTTTACAATATTCACAATTGAAATATTGGCCTTACTTAATGTAACTACTCGATTCCTTGCATATTGGGAAAGCTTTACCATCGCTATTCTTACAAAAATAATTCTCAAGGAACTGCTGAAAGTTGGAGATTGCGATAATAACGCATTTGTAGGTGAAATGTTTCTTTCGACGCCCACAGTAAAATCAAACGATTTCCGAAAATAAATTATTCTAATTGCGTCCAAGTGCCCACAGACGCGGGCTGGACACACCCGCGGGCATTTGTGGACGCAGAGCAGACGCAAATTACCTGCGTCTTGTACACGGATTTTGATAAGTTATTTCTTGGCAGTACTGTAGGAATAATATTCGGAACTTGTCAAAACAGTTTAACCATCGTATATTTTGTTGCTATTTCTCAATTCTCTGCATGAGAAGGCTTGGTCAAACGGTCGCAGCATTTTTTTGCATCATCACATGCAATGTGGTTGGTAGTTGCATGTTGTTTTAGTCATAATTATTCGACCAGACTGGTCAAACCCTACCAATTTTTTCATCTTTAACATATTGCTAACACCTGACGCACATGCCCAAAAATTGCATCGGAGATGTCTAGTCGTTGCCCATTTTTACTTGAGTTGCTCCTCACAGTCATGAATGTATCTAAGGATGAATTAAGTGAGTTTTTTCCAAGAATTAGTGTTTGTTACTCCATTTTGATGCAGACAAGGAATCAAGAGCTAGGTTTGGTTCAAAGACTGAACACTGTAGACGTGAATGATGTGAAAACAGAGGTATACTATATAAAATATGCATATACAGTAATTATAATTATAACCGACACCATAAGGCCGGCGCACACTAGAGCTATGTGCTTAGCAAAAAGTCATTCGTGGCCATTGGCGTAAGCCAGTTGCTCTCGTGTGCGGGCAACTTTTCCGGTGACTTTCCTCACTCGTGCCAAAAGTCGCCGGAAAAGTCACCCGCACACAAGAGCAACTGGCTTAGGCCAATGGCCACGAATGACTTTTTGCTAAGCACATAGCTCTAGTGTGCGTCGGCCTATAGATACAGACCTTCTTACCTGTATTCAGAATTTTCAGTGTTTTCTCTTTATCACATAATAATAATAACGGTTTAATGAAGCATATCTACAAAGTAGCTCTACATCTTCAATGATAAAAAATAAAAGTTAAAAGAAATTATAATACATTAAATTAATTGGTAAGAGAAGGTATTAGTTAGACGCTAGTCTCTCCTTAGCTGTGGCAAACAGCATTGTTTTGACATTTCGCATAAAAATCCTAATGTTATTCTCATTCCTTCAGTGTGGGTCTAGTTTATTAAATAGCTTGGCACAACTGTCTTGAAATGTTCCAGTTTCCAAAGGAGTTTCCAACGTCATGAAAGAGCTTGATCGTAAGTCTCTGCTTGTATTGCGTATACGTAAATTGGAATACTCAGGCCAGTTGGGATCCCAAATGGCTTTATGTGTAAGTCGAAGGAGGTGGTATTGTGCTCGTTCAATTAAAGGAAGCCAACCAAGTAACAAAACGTCCAGTTCCCTACAATATAATTAATCATTTACTACTTATATAGCGCAAATTAACATGCATTGATATGATCATGCAATATCTATTATAGACAAAACTTGCCATGGCATTCTGGACACGCTGTAGTTTCTGACTAAGATAAGCTGGTAGTGGGTAATGGACAAATCGTTATAGTCAATCTTAGATAAGACGAGACTTTCTACTATTGGTTTTTTCACATAAAAGGGTGCAAGGTTTTTCAATTTCCTCAGGGTCGATAACACTCCATAGCAAGATGGTACAGTTTATTTTACATGCTCGTTCCATTTTAGGTTTCATTAATGTGGGATCCTAGGCGCTTAAAATTAGGCACCTTCTCGACTTGTTTGCCTGTGATAGTCACGGCTGGAGCAAAAGAAACTAAATCGTGGACTCGGGATAAGGACTGTGTGGAAATTATCATTAGCTTAGTCTTAGCACTGTTTAGAAGTAGATTACAATTACTTCCCCACTTCTCTACAACATGGTGTTGTTCATCTTTCCAGCACAGGCTAGCAAATCGTTGGGAACACAATGATCATAAAATGTAGTATCGTCCGCATATTGGAAGCACAAACATTTGCAATCCTTCGCAGGTCATTAACATAGAGGTTAAAAAGTATGGGACCTAGAATGGACGCTTGTGGGACACCAAATTGTGTTGCTAATTTATTTGACTGCTTGTCATTCACTTGCACGAATTGTTGTCTGTTGCTAAGATAATTTGTAACCAATGTAAGCATGTCCCGCGAAAAGCCAATCGCATGAAGTTTCTTCAACATCATGGAATAATTAACTGTGTCGAAGGCTTTGGAGAAATTCTGAAAAGCTATTAAGGTGATTTCTCCCTTTTTCATGGCATTGATGATGTCATCTCTAATGCGAAGTAACACTGATGTCGTTGAGTGTCCTTTCCGGAACCCAGAGATAGAATGATTGAGTATTTTGCGAGCATTAATATCAAATCAAAGCAAGACAATAATCGCCAAACACTTTTCGGACAGCATCATGGAAGTTATTAAGGATGGTAAGAGGTTGCAAGGAACTGGAGATAATTGGGACATGAAAATTCACGTTCATGATATGCAGTCGTCCAATCAAAACCAAGATCTTTATTACTTTGCGTCTAACCTGATTGTGGAAAGAGTATCGTAGAGATATCAAAAAACTGCCAAATTCAGTTTTTCTACTAAATTATGATGAAGAAATTAAGTTAAATGAAGATTTCAAAATTTTGGTTGGAAGAGTGCTCACCTCTTGAGTTGAAAGTTTGTCATTTTTGAACAGTGTAATACCTGATCATGTATCACATAAATTCCAAAAAGAGATGTCTACAGAGTCCATTATTGTTCCTCTTCCCATGCAGTTAAAAAATGAAAAGAGGTACAGTGAGGTCGTTGAGTCCTGGATTATTACGAGAATGAGCTGGAGGACATCTATACTAAAGCTGGAGTCATTCAAGAGCCAACCAAACAAGCAAAACAGAATTTGGCATCAATTAAAGGGCAGTCATCCAGACCAGATCAACCAGGGCCACACTTCAATAAATTAGATGAAAATGACCACATGAAAGTTGTCATGATCAGTTCCATTTGGAGGAGATCAAATGGCCCGCGTGAGATTTGCTGGTGCAAAAGACTTGCAGGCAGGATCACATACAGCAAAGGCACGACTGGATCACTGCAGTCCATTTGTCTCTTGAGTTATTTCACACCAAAATATCCTACCTGCAGGTATATAAAAGTAGAAAGTCAAGTAATTATATATAGTTGGTGAAAAATCATTGACATAGCCCATAGCTAACTTGATAATTGGGGTGTACCTATTCATATACATTCAAGTTTTGCAGTAATCTCTTTTAAAATTGATTAACATTGATAATCGATAAAATTGCTTTTATCAATAAAGCAACTGTTTCACAGGATACCTTGCACCCAATAGGCTGACCTGTTTAATAATTACAGAAATAACTTCACCATGCCCTGAATGTTTTATTCTATAGGGTTTCAAACACAGATGAAATATTAAACTATATAATGCACTGTACATGTATGTTCAATATAATTTTGTGTTTTTTAGTTTGTCTACAAACTCCTTCACAACTCTGGTTCTGTAAGAGAAATTGGTACCTTGAAATACTTCAGAGAGAAATATGATCGATTAAATGTGACACCTCAAAAGGTTACAAATTCATATGAGGTTACAGAGCAGTTCTTATTGAGTTTTGGGAAAGCATACATTCTGGAAGCTGCAATGGAGTTTTAAGGACTGAAAGATGTGAATGGTCCTCCAGCAAAACACATACCACCACATAAAATCATGCATATGGAGAGAGAAAAAAAGATGGAATCATTTGACAGAGTCATCAGTGCATTTGTTAATGAGTTTGTTATCCCAGACCCTGAGAAAGAAAAACCTAATCATACTGATGTTGAAAGGCTTGCATTTGGTGATGATAAACATTTTCAAGATACTGAGCCAGATAGAATCTGGTATATATAACTTTGTTTGCTACAATAAAAATCTCAGATGTTTTTTATGGTACTCTGCCATCATAATGTCATCCACTAATTCACCAGTAAAGTTTAATAACAAAATTAATTAAATTAATGCACAATTGTGCACCATGCTCGCATTGATGTTTATATAATCACAATTGTACTATTCATATTTAATGGTATTTTTAACTAATGTAAGTACTTAAACCAACAAAGTTTTATCTTATGTTGGCAGGTTTTATGGTTTAAAAATAATACAGTTAGCTGTCTTCTTGATGCAACTTATCGATAATGCAATGAAGGAGATGGTTTGAGGAATAACATCAACGAAAAGCTATTACTATTATATTTCAAATCAGCAAATTCCCATAACTATGTACTAGACATGTTCACAAGTTGCCCAAATTGAAGCTAACGCATCGGAGGAAATGGCACATAGGCTCACATGGGGACGATCTGTAAACTGGCATGGCAGTAAAGGGAGGAATATTTCTTGTGACATGGCACAAAAAATATGTAACAGAGTAAGCAAAGATGAGAGAGCTAACGCAAGTTTGAAGGATTTGCAGGAGATTGCAAGAGCATTTGAAGCAGTAGAAATTCAGATGAAATCCTTGGAACAGCCTGGTTCGCAACACAAACCAGGGGAGGGGCAGGTAAACTCAGTGGGACGTGGTTTTAAGAAAGGCAAGAAGGGAAACAAAGATGGAAACAACGTTAGTGGTCAACGCAAGGGAACTGGGACTGAG